TATATATATATATATATATATATATATATATATATATATATATATATGTATGTACGTAGCAATTGCATCCATTTACATACAAATGTTTACGGAGCAAATTATAAAAGATACTTATTTTTAAGTTACGGATCATCATTAGTCAAATTAGTATGCGAACATGTAGACACGAACGTATGTTCATATATTCATAAGTACATTAGCAGAAAAATATTGAATTTTAAAAATAAATTCTTACACTTTCCTTACTGCATTTTAAACAATTTCGAATATTCAGAGCCTTAGTTATGACTAACAATTGTTCATTCATCTTCAACAATACGGTTGAAGACACATCAACTGGACTCAAAATGATAAGCCAGTCTAGATTGAAAATCATAAGTCAAGCTAACCTTGCATTTGTAATGAGAACATTATCCCGCCATTGCCCTTTAATGGCTAGAAACGAAAATTTTTATAAAAATATTTGAAAAGCACATGAAGACGAAGCATAATTTTTTAATGAATACAAATCGCCATAAGAAAGAACCTTCTTCTTATGGATGATGTAAGTAAGTAAAATAATAGCTTTCATCACTTACAAGCTAACGTATGGACCACGCAACGCAGGCATATCACGACGTCGATTTAATGGTGGCGACAGCGACAAAGATAGAAAATCCTGCTGAGCTTTATCTTCATCAACCAGACTTGACGGAGTGGTGCTGTAAATACGTGTTGTTGGCAAATAGCCAATTTGTTGCAGAAAATCATCACGATGCGATAATTTTGTTGTCGATTGTGAAGACGTGAGGGGTGCATACAGAGCGGCACCGCCCGTGGCGACAGAGTATTTTACCGCAGACGAGGCAAGACCACCAATAAAATTGGCATGAAAACTGCCGCCACTGCCGCCAAGATGGTGATGGTGTAGAGCATGTGCCGGATGATGGAGGACGTGATGTAAATGAGCTTGTTGCGAGTGATGATGATGGCTAAAGAGAGGACTAAGTGGCACTGGTTGCTGCAAATGATGATGATGGTGATGATGATAGTGCGACGGTATAGCAGGAAAATGTGTCAGGTAGGAGGTGGCCGATACGGCAGGACCACCTAGCGATGTTTGACTTTGACTACTAACGGCGGCAGCTGCCGACGAAGTGGCCGTAATAATTTTATCATCAAAACTGCGGCGAAATGTAAATCCTTTTATGCTTGGATAATTACGATGTGTTAGAGGCGAAGTACCCAAATCAATTGAAGCAGCTGGTCCAAGTAGTTTTATGGTGTTCAAATAGTTTGAGCCACTAGATGTTTGGGAAACTGTGCTCACGGCTACAGTTGAGCTGCCGACAACGTACGACGATAAAGAAACTCCAATAGGCGAGTTCGGTAAAGGACTTAATATTTTAGTCTTGGCACTGCCCATCATGTTTAAAGCCGGAGAAGTGCGTTCGGCATAAAGAAGCGAAGGGCTAGCGCAACTAACAGCTGAACCAGCACTGTAAATGCACGATGACGAGGCCAAGCCATTGCTTAGGCCAGTCGTAATATTGGTTATTATAGGGCTGCAACGTCCGCCACTACCACTTCCACTACCTGGAGTGCAGCTGTTGCTGCTGCTCGTGCCTGCATTATTGTTACTAATATTATTGCTGCTACTACTGCTTGAGGTGGTGATAACATTTGACGCCAAAATCGTTAATGAAATACTATTTGAAGCCGGTGGAGGTGAAATTTGAGTCAACGACGGCGTCGATGATATTATAGACGATATACCGCTATCGCTACTGCAGATATTTACAGTGACTCCGACCGAGCCTACGTTGCCTCCCATTACTGCGCTGCCATAAACTACCGATGGTAGTGGCGTATGAGTAGGGGATAATAAATGCGGTGAAGTTGAGTGTGTTACAGCTTCGTGCAGTAATGAATTTGCGACACTAGCCACTGCACTAAGGCCGTTATATGCACCGATGTTACTAACATTTTTTAAGGCGGTTTCTGGCAGACGTGCAGCAGCTGCTCCCGCTGATCCGCCTGCTATAGTACTAGATGGTAGCACAGGTGCCAGTGTTAAACCTCAACTATTTCTTATCGGTAATTTATGAACTAAACTTTAAGATAAATACTTTTCTCAGTCTATCTGACGACTTGGCGTCTATTTGTTTTGTTTTCTGCAATTATTCGTGTATTTGTTTTTGTTAACTTTTCCGCTTACGGAAGAGAGAACAATTACGCATATACATGAAAATTACCGTTACACCGCTTACATTCACTCACATCTGTTCTTTCATATATATACATATCAAGAGTTTTCTTATTTGAACTCATATATATTAAAAAGAAACACACAGAAAGAGCGAGAGAGAGAGAGAGAGAGAGAGAGAGAGAGAGAGAGAGAGAGGAACTAAAGCAAGGGTGTTCTTACTTTAATAAAATCCTATTACTGGTTTGAGTTGAGTTACTCATAACATGCCAACGAACTTATTTTCCTTTTGTGCTCATATATCGCGGATGGGTGCCTTAATTTTATCATTCTGTTTGAATCGGACAAATCGGACTCACAGCTAAAGTAAATCGAGAATAGATGAAAGTATCACAAGCCTTTCTTAAATGTTGACGCAAGATAGATTAAAGGACACACCCACAGTTAATGAACTAAGGCTTTAAATGAAATCACTAACATCTAAACGAAAATAAGCGAATAATAATAAAAATAATCGCTTTAATATTTGCCAGCATTTGCTGCTAGAAAGGAAATCGAAAATGAAAATAATGTGAATCGCTCATCCCTCACACTCCCCACCCCCTTTACTATGTTCTATAAAAATTTTTAAGTTCAAATTACATCATGAAATGCAAGGAATATAAAATCCGTATCCGGACAGGGTCCGGTACACGAATTGTTTATAAAAATAGTGGTGGGTATCCGAAGATTCGGACTAAGCCGAATAGGGTCCCTCTCTCTCTTGCTTTTCTTTCGTTTGTTTGCCACTTCGAGTTTTAAGATTTTCGCAATTTTTCCATTTGCTTTTTAATAACCAAACAATAGAATCCTGCAATCTATGCAGCCATTTTCACTTGCATACTTACATATAGATGTGCGTGTACATGTATGCAAGTAAGGTTCATGTTAGTTTAGAGTTCATTGTGTTATTTATAAAAAAAAAAAAAAAAAAAAAAACGCAAATAACATACAAAAAAAAATTGAAAATCTTTTATAAAAAATTTAATTTTCGATAAAAAAAAAAAAAAAAAAAAACAATTATTCCCTATAGTTGACGAAGCGTAGTGGCTGTAGGATTATTATTTGTCGTAAAAATTATTGAATTATCGAAAACGAACAACATATTTTCCGCTTCCTTATATATTCAATTCACTGCTCCGCTCCCATTTTGAAGTTCACATATGTAGTAGATATATGCGTTGTTATAGAATTTTGATTTAGAAGCGTTTGCTTTACAATTTTTTTTCGATTTTCTTTATAAACATTTCTTCTTTGATATAAACATTTTTCTTTCCCTTTTCTTTTGGCTTTTTTTTTTTTCGTTTAACAATTTTTGCGATTTTTCTTTTGTATATGTTATTTATTAAAAATTTTTATATGAATTATTTTCTCTTTTTTTTTTTTTTTCCTTTACTAAAACCGTTCTGGCAAGAAAATTCGTCTGTTTCAGTATTCCGCACCTTTCGTTATGTTTCCCGTTTTCCAACTTCGTGTACAGCAAAGTTACCGTTACAGCCACATCCGTTCTGTCAAAGTGCGCATGTTTAGCATTTTTGATTTGTTTGTTTTACGTTTACCCAAAATGACTTCAGCATGAATTGCCTCCAGTTGACGGACGATTATTAAACAAAAGGCAAATTGAAACCATGTTCTTTAAAGCAGCTAACAACAAACAGTTCATTAAGCAGTTCTCGATCAATTCTTATTGCTGTCGATTTTCCATAGAATGAAAAAAAAAAAAATTGTGAAAAATTCAATGAAATTTTTTTTTATTCATTGAATTTCGGCATTAGATCGACGAAGGGAAATTCACCGTTTCTACAAAAAAGTTTCTACTATTTAAGCAACTATACATAGAGATGTTATAGAGATTTTTGTTGAAATTTCTTTTCAACAGATTTATATCTCTACACAACAGCATATCATTATACAAAAAAGATTTTATTCGAACTTTAAGATTTCCCATTAAGTGCGAATTTTACCTAAGAACAAAATTGTTATTTCTAAACTTGACCTCAAGAAAAAGTTCATATCTTCTTCAGATAAAGCTATGATGGGAATCGGATTTGCCAAGACATGAACGAAACTGAGCCCGTACAGATGTTTCGCGTTTGGTTAGGGACATCGGTACTCTCTTTATCATTGAAGTCATGACAAAACTTCAAATATAGGCCCTCTTTAAACAGTAGTTTCTAAATGGAGACTCTTCAGTTATAAATACGAAAAGTTTATCGTTTTGAAAATTCGTTACCCTATAGTTTTCATATAAATTTTTTATATATTTTAGTTTTAACGTATGAACAAAACTTTATGAGAAAACTTTAATTTATTTAACGCTTTTCGATTTTTAAATTGCAATGAAAAATACACAAAATATATATACATTAAGCAAAGTATTTAATTCCGTGCCAGTGTGTCTTATCACAAACACTAAATGTATAGAAATTTAAACAATAAAAAAAATTGTTTTCAGAAAAAGTTCATGAAAATAAAGAAACATGAAAATGTTACTTATATATGAGTTACGCATCTAAAGGAAAACCTAATGGATTTTCCGTAAATACCGTTGAGCCGTCTCTGTTGATAAATCTGCAGTAAGGCATATAACTAGCACTTGTTTCTTTCAAAAACCTTTCAGCCTCTTCAATTCGACAGGAAATCACCAAAAGTTTACCGTTTGCCGACAAATCTAAAGCAGTTAATTTCGACAATGCGCCTTCTTCAGTTTGCGTTATATAGATAGAATAATTTATGCCATATAAGCCGAATAGTACATCGATTTCATAGCGTAACTGTTCAATTGTTAGGATATCGTTAGTGGCCACATCTCGAAGCAATAAAGACGCCTTATTGCTCCTTCCGTAACGCGGTTGTAAATCGTGTGCCAATGCTACGTTAACCCAATGTACTAATGGAAGTTGTACGTCTTCCATTGAGCAGATAGTAAGTTTGAGATCAATACCCTTGAGATCGACAGATTCACTGATAATTGTTCGCTTGTTTTTAGCTTCATCAACACTGTATTTAACGAAATTTGACTTGATAGTTGCTGTAATCATTGAATAGTATATCTCCATCACTTTTGTAATATGTTCGATATCAGCCTGCTTTTGTGGAGGAGCCGTTAGCTCATAATAAATCACCACCGGATCAGTCGGTATTAAATGAGCTTTTTTCTTAAGCTTTTGTACGCGATTAATGATCTCACGTGCCAAACCTTCGGCAAGTAATTCTTCGTTAGGAGTCATATCCATTAGGACTAATACTTCATTGTCGCTATGAGCTTCGAAATTGCCGCCACCCATCTGAGGGGATGTGCAGTAAATAATACGAACCTCCTCCAATTCAATGCGTTGATGATCAATTTCAAAGTAACCCCTGCTCAAATGCTTTTGAATGTCATCATCCGTTAAAGATTTGATGGCTGCTAAAACCGACTTAAAATTACTCTTTAAACGCTGGCCAAGAACCTATGCGTCAAGAAAATCGTTTAGAAAATAGATTACAAAAAATTTACAAAATTTTAAAATAAAATTTCACCTTATGGTCCGGTTCAGCTCTCATTGTAACACCATACTTCTCTTTATCTGAAGTTAAAGTCAACTTACGTACATTCAACTCTCCCAAAATGAAATCTTCTAAACTCTTGATGGCTTCAAGGCATTTTGGATCTTTGTGTATAACAATTATTTCCGATACTGGATATTTGACAGGCAATGTGCGCCTATCACGCATAACACGACCTAATTCAATAATTGCCTGCATGATCGCAACGGACTTCTCAACTTCAGCACGAATGAACTTGCGATTCGAGGTCGGCATCATTTGGTAGTGAATCGATTCAATGTTGCCTACGGCGTCTTTCGGTTGAAACAGTACCAAACGTTTAAATATGTATTCGGTAAGAAAAGGTGTAAAGGGAGCCATCATCTTCACCATTGTAAATAAAACGTCGTAAAGTGTGTCCAAAGATTGAATACACTCCTCCTTACCCATTTCACCTTTAATGCGTCGTCTGTTCAAACGCACATACCTATGATAAAAAAAAAAAGAAAAACTTTAACAAAACTCCTTACGAGCTATCTTCAAATTTATAACTAACCAGTTTGTTAATTGGTCGATGAATTTAGTTAAACGTGGTACCACTGTGTACAGGCGGTACATTTTCATTTCAGTGGCAAAAAAATCCAACAGAGATTCTTTAAATGATAAGATCCAAACATCGATTATAGAGGACTTTTCATAATTCTTTAAATGCCTTTCCTTGTCATACATGTACAAAGATGCACTTTGTAGCTCCTCTTTTTCATATCGGGCGATATTTTGTAAAAGAAACCGATAAGCATTGTACCAGGGCAAAAATACATCCTTAACTATATCACGAACGCCCTCCTCTTTGAAGCGCAAATTTTCAGCACGTACTACTGGTGAATTAATTAGATATAAACGCAAAGCATCAGCTCCATATTTTTGCACTACTTCCAACGGATCTGGGTAGTTCTTTTTGCGTTTGGACATCTTTTGTCCATCAGCTGCCAATACTAATCCGTTAGCTATTAAATTCTTAAAAGGGGCTTTGTTGAACAGAGCCGTCGAAATAACTAGGAGAGTGTAGAACCAACCCCGCGTTTGATCGATGCCTTCGGCGATAAAATCCGCGGGGAAATTGCTCATAAAGTCTTTTTCATTTTCAAAAGGAAAATGCTGTTGCGCAAATGGCATACTGCCCGATTCGAACCAACAATCAAATACGGGAGCAATGCGACGCAGGGGAGGATTACCCAATACTGCTGACGGTATTTCGATCTCATCAACAGTCTCCCGATGCAAATCGGTAATTACCTTTCCAGATAATTGTTCAACCTCATTAATGCTACCCACACACACCGTCTCTTCACCATTCAATGAACGCCAAATAGGTATAGGTGTGCCCCAATAACGATTGCGGCTTATTGCCCAATCTCGTGCTTCCTTCAGCCAATTGCCGAATCGTTTTTCTTTAACAAAATCAGGAACCCAGTAAGTTAATGAGCTACAGGCTAGCAAATTTTTGGACATATGCTCAACACGTATGAACCAAGATGGTACCGCCTTATAAATTAATGGGGTATCTGAGCGCCAACAAAACGGATAACTATGCTTAACTTGGCCCGCTGAAACTAGATTGCCGCTTGCTTTCAAAAAAGCTATGATTTGTTTATCAGCATCTTTCACGTAGAGCCCCTTAAAATGAGTAACTTCTTCAGTAAATCGTCCCGCATCATCAACTGGACAAATAGGAGGACTTGACTTCGTAATCAAATCAGCTGCCAGACAAACGCGATGATCGTCCTCACCAAAATATGGAGCATTATGTACAATTCCAGTACCCGAATCATCGGTTACGTAATTATCAACAAGCACTTTAAACGCTTTGACTAGTTCGCCACGATTCGCAAAATAGGGAAATAAGGGTTTATAGTGAATGCCGGCCAAGGTTTCACCAAGGAACTCCTGAATAACTTCATAATCCTCCTCAGTTTTATAAACATAACTAAGACGACATTTAGCCAAAATGTAGAAGCGAAGAGTTTTCACATCTTTTACCTAAATTTTTAGAAAGATTAAAATTAATTTATGGATTGGACTTTTGAGTGCATACCTTGACATACTCCATGTTTGGATTAACGCAGCAAGCAAAATTTGACGGTAAAGTCCAAGGCGTAGTAGTCCATATAAGAAAGTAAGTATTTTCATAGCCAACAGCTTCTAATGCGACGACCACACAAGGATCTACCACCTCCTTGTAATTTTGACCGGATTCAAAATTCGACAGAGGCGTCGTACAAGCAGTTGAATATGGCATCACTTTTACACCCTCATATACTAGGCCTTTATCGTACAGTTGTTTAAATACCCACCATATGGATTCCATGTACCAAGGATATAAAGTCTTATAATCGTTCTTGAAGTCAATCCAACGACCCATACGTGTCACAATCGATTCCCATTCCTTCGCGTAGCGCGTAACAATTTTACGACATTCCGCGTTGTAGGTCGCAATACCCATTTTCTCTACATCCTCTGGTCCATGTACATCCAACAATTTATCAATTTCAAATTCCACGGGCAGGCCATGACAATCCCAACCAAATCGCCGATCAACGTGGTAGCCTTGTTGGTAAGCATAGCGCGTTACTATATCTTTAATAGTCCCAGCTAATATGTGACCATAATGAGGTAAACCAGTAGCAAATGGAGGACCATCATAAAAGGTATACCTATAAAATAAGAAAACCACGTGTACTTTTGTAACCTGCTTTTTTATAATTTGTCAAAATGAAATGATGCAATAGGTTGTATGTATTGCCAACACAATTTGTCTTGCTTACTTGGGTTTGCCCTTCGAAAGCTTCATGCATGTCTCAAAAATCTTCTTTTCTCTCCAATCATTTAAAATCTGGTCCTCCTCCTCCGGGAAACATATCGTTTCTGGCACACGACATACGTCCTCCCTAGTTAACTTATCTGGGGACTCTCGCTTGCTTGATACCATTTTATGACTTTTCTTCTAGTCAATGTGACTAAAATCACGCTTTAATTATAAAAAAAACTATCACGTCTTTTCTATTACACGTTTCAATTTATCTTATTTAAGACTTTTTCAGCAATAGAAACAGTAAGCGCAAAACGTGAATCCCTAGTATTTCTTTTAGAATGAACCAATATGGCCGTAAGGTTTGATTTAATAACAGTATGAATAAAATTAACTTACTGCATTTAACTGTAAATTACCTGGTAGTTGTGTATGGCTTTTACTACGTTTCATTTTCGAATTTCGAGTTTTTTTTTGCTACATGTACGCACAAGAATCGCGATAAACGCTCTCCCAGAAATGTCAAAGCCACCCTAAGGAAAATTTCCGACGCTTTGCGTTAGTATTATTTGTTTCGCTATGCATTTATAAGAGAAAACAGCTGCAAATTGAAAATAAAATAAATTTCAAGCAAAATTTTTTACTTACAAGCAGCTAAACTAAAACAAAACATTTTAAATTTGTGAAAGTTAAGAAAATTAATTCATATCTTTGCTGTTTATTTCAATTTTCTAATTAATAACCTTAATTCCCCAAAGCTTGTGATCAGTTCTCTGATCCATACATCGCCATATCATTGATGCAGCGCAAAAGATAAGCAAATAATAAAAACTCATCACTTTATTGGTTATATTGGCCTTATTGTCAACAGGCCTAATCTATTCTACTAAACAAACCAAAAAAAAAGTTAAATATTATTTTTAAATAATCATAAAGGCACATTGAGTGTGAGACGTCAAAGGGCTCTGAGGGACGCTTCAGTTTCTCTCACGTTAACCGAACATGTATAAGTAAAGGATTTTATATATTTTTCCACAATGTAAATTAAAATATATATATCGTTACATGTAGAAGTTTGCAAGAGTTTTGCGTTTCCAAAGGGAGCTTTGAATACATTTTAGGGAAAGAGAGCAAATGCAGACACGATCCAAGGAATACGAGAACATTCGCAAATGTACAGCTCTTCACAATAATTGCATGCATTTTAAAGCGCCAAAACTCAGAGACGGTGCAGACGTTTGGCTACAGGTCTCCCAATTGAGGCAAATAAGTGAGAAAATAAGAACCGGCATATCTTCTGCGTTTTCAAATTGAATTATAATGAAGTAAAAAATGTAAGAAACAAATCCGCTGCACACCAAAGACATACAAATTGATTTCAGGATTTGGAATACCTTTGGCACCCAAACCAGAAGCATACTTAACAATTAATTATTAACCACCGTTGCATCAGCGGATAAGGGAGCTAACTCCACAACATTCCCGGCCTTCCTTGATCTTTTATTGTTTTTAATAATATTCAAATAATAATTTTCTAAGACGTTTTTTATTTACAATAATCGAATCAGATCCTGGCTCCATAGGGAAACAGGCTGATATTATCTTAGCTGTTATTAATGCTATCTTGAGGAACACTAACTAAAAGTCCAAAAGTAAAGGCAACAAAAACTTTTTATTATATATATTTTTTTAAAAGGAGTTTACGAGATTTTTAATTAAAATAATGTTATATATATTTTCACTTAAAAATGGAATCGTTAAAGATTTATATCAAATACTACTATTTTTAATTCTAGTTTATTTTCTTTTAAGTTGCAATAAGCGAATATTTTAATTTGAATTTTTTTTAATAACACAGAAAACAAATATCACAAAAATTTTCATGTGCCGTTTTCTTAAGTATATAGTGTTAGCTTCGAATGTCAATTGTTGTTCACATGCTTACATTCAATTTAAAAATGTATTTAATCCAATTAAGTAAGAGCGCTGACAACAACTTCTATACAAACAAATAAAACAAAAACAAAAAAATTGTAGAATAAAAAATAAGCCGACTGACACAATGAGACGTCATTTTTGTTTCCGGGTTTAAAACTGCCAAGTGGTAAACGCAATTGGCAGCAGCGCTATCGTATTGTTTTATAGCAAAATGCAAATGAAAACTTTTCTTACAAAGTCGTTTACAAAAGATACAAACGTTGAAGGAAGAAAATAGTCCAGGATTTCAATAATATGTGGATCTTACCTTAGCGCACTCGTGCAATTGATGGCAAACACTGTTGGTTGTCCCCCCAAGTCTATATCCCTCTTTTATAATTACAAAGGTAAGTGTTTATGACAACAAGTAAATAATATTTATAAAATTTGTTCTTTAGGTCATTCCTCTATGGTGCTGTTAGGAATTTGGAATGCAAATTATACCTTCGCAGCTGTAGATGTCGGAGCTTCTGATTCCCAAAGTGGTGGAGATATTTTAAACGATTCTGCATTTGGGCGGCGGCTATTTAGTAACAAATGGAATATTCCACAAGCAAGCGTAATAGCGAACCCAAATGTAATGTTTCCATATTTATTTGTGGGTGGCGCGGGCTTTTCTTTACATGATAATATACTACGAGCATATCGTGGAAGACTGTTATCTGAAAAATAAAAAAGTATCAATGCACGTGTTTCGAGGGTAAGGAAAGTTTACTTTTGGTCTTCTAGTCTCTAGAGTCTTAACAAACCCCTATATATGAAACCAAAAAATGCTGAAGGCATTATTTAAGCTACTATCGTACTTCATAACATTTGAAAAATGCAGAACGAGAGTTATTGTCTAAGAAATTTTACGACATTTGAACGGGAAGATTTAGTTCTTTCTCTCAAGGAATATGTCTCGTCTTCTTGAATAATTCGACGAGGAAAGCGTATCAATTGCAAGATGTGTTACTGAATAATGCTAGCGTAACTTGATTTGATGTTGATGAATATATTTATCAGCTCTAAAATAAACGGTTTTTATTGTTTGTATTTCATTTCTTACAAAATAAAATTTTCATGTATTCGTTGCTTACATTTCTATAGATTCTGTTATTTTTACTTTCCGATCCATTATGTTTCCTATCCATTAATTGAGATCTATATCAATTTCTCTAATTTTACTTCTTAAACGATATAGTCAAACGAGCGCGGATTTTCATTATGTTAATTGTTTGCAGCTTGCAACTGATAAGCTTTCATAGACTTAACACAGTGATGCGTTATTCCTTTTTTCGTGAGGCGATTGTAAGTTTGCTAAATTAACTTAACTGAGTGAGTTTACAAATTACAGGAGGCTGACACAATACAGCTTCACTTATATTAAAATATAAATTTTTCATAAAATGATATAAAGATTTAAGATTAATAAAATTTACAAATGAGATTTGAATATTAGAGAAGCTTCACGGTATCAGCCTCCATATGTGGTTTTATATCTACATACCCAAATAAAAGAAAGAGTGGAAATAATATGGATTTTCATTTGGTATTTATTAACTCGAAAAGCGGAATAACGCATTAATGTGGCAAGACCCTGATTTTTATATAAGTGTTTACTAGACAGCAGTTAATTGCATATCTGCGTCATACTAATTCATTTAAAAAAACAAGAAATTGTGCGGATATTATTTACGTCAACTAGTTTTCATAAAATTTTCACAATTGGAAACAATAAATGGGGAAAGTGTGAAAATTATTTAGAAAATTGTTAAATATGTAGAAAGTAATGTTAATTTTAAATTTGCTTACAAGCAGGCATTAAATTGCAATAACGAAAACTTATATGTTCAGTAAAAAATCAATTGAAAGGAAAGCTAGGTGTGGTCGTGTTAACAATAATTGAGGGATATTACAAGCGAACGAACATTTCTCTGCTGCGATAAAGATGGCACGTCCTATCTATCCTAATCAGTCAAAAATTGCTGAAAAATTGATAATTTTAAACGATAGAGGTCTGGGCATATTAACTCGTGTTTACAACATTAAAAAGGCTTGCGGCGATACTAAATCTAAGCCTGGTTTTTTATCGGAAAAATCCTTGGAGTCGTCCATTAAGTTTATAATAAAGCGATTTCCCAATATCGATGTAAAGGGCCTCAATGCTATAGTGAATATAAAGGCTGAAATCATTAAATCACTCTCCTTATATTATCACACGTTTGTGGATTTGCTGGATTTTAAAGATAACGTATGCGAGCTATTAACCACAATGGATGCCTGTCAAATCCATTTGGATATAACACTGAATTTTGAGTTAACCAAAAACTACTTAGACTTAGTGGTTACCTATGTGTCATTGATGATTCTTTTATCACGTGTAGAGGATCGTAAGGCAGTATTAGGTCTATATAATGCAGCTTATGAATTGCAACATAATCAAGCTGACTCTGGCTTTCCTCGTTTGGGACAAATGATCCTGGATTACGAAGTCCCACTAAAAAAGCTATCTGAGGAATTCATACCACATCAACGTTTACTAACAAATGCTTTACGCTCACTAAGTACTATATATCCACATCGGAACTTGCCGGCTGATAAATATCGTGAAACGCAAAAGCTAAGCTTGGTTGGCAATCCGGCAAATTTGCTTAAAGCTGTACGCACTGATACTATGTCGTGTGAATACCTCTCACTTGAGACAATGGATCGTTGGATAATATTTGGATTGCTACTGAATTACCAAATGTTGGCTCAGTATGCCGATGTCAATAAAATTTGGCTTTCGGCTTTAGAATCCAGCTGGGTTATAGCTCTGTTTCGTGATGAAGTGTTGCAAATACATCAATACATACAAAACACCTTCGATGGAATTAAGGGGTACAGCAAACGCATTAATGAGGTTAAAGAGGCATACTCAAATGCAGTACAAAAAGCTTCTCTTATGCACCGAGAAAGACGCAAGTTTCTACGTACCGCTCTAAAGGAATTAGCTCTAATTATGACGGACCAGCCCGGCTTGTTGGGCCCAAAAGCCATTTTTATTTTCATTGGGTTATGCTTGGCAAGAGATGAAATACTATGGCTACTGAGACATAATGAAAATCCGCCGTTATTAAAAAATAAAGGTAAGACAACTCTTTCCAGCCTTTTAAATAAACGTAAATCTTCTTTCCTTCAATTAAGGGAAAAGCAATGAAGATCTCGTGGATCGTCAGTTGCCTGAACTATTGTTTCATATGGAGGAATTAAGAGCTTTAGTGCGAAAATATAGTCAAGTAATGCAACGATATTACGTTCAATATCTATCGGGTTTCGATTCTACTGATCTCAACATACGTATGCAAAGCTTGCAAATGTGCCCAGAAGATGAGAGTGTTATTTTCTCTTCGCTATATAATACTGCATCAAATCTAACAGTAAAACAAGTCGAAGACAACGAGTTATTTGACTTTAGAGCATTCCGTTTGGATTGGTTCCGTTTGCAAACGTACATGAGTGTCGGCAAAGCCGCATTACGCGTAACTGACCATGTGGAATTAGCTCGCCTACTTGATTCGATGGTATTTCATACCCGAGTAGTAGACAATTTGGACGAAGTGCTCGTAGAAACATCAGACTTGAGCATTTTTTGCTTCTACAATAAAATGTTTGATGATCAGTTTCGTATGTGCTTGGAATTTCCAGCGCAAAATCGCTATATTATTGCATTTCCATTGATATGTAGTCACTTTCAGAATTGTACGCATGAAATGTGTCCAGAAGAACGACATCATATACGCGAACGTTCCCTAAGTGTAGTAAATATATTTCTAGAGGAAATGGCCAAAGAAGCCAAGAACATTATAACCACTATCTGTGACGGGCAATGTACAATGGCCGATGCTTTATTACCCAAGCATTGCGCAAAGATACTCTCAGTTCAATCAGCTCGTAAAAAGAAAGACAAATCAAAGAAGCAATTCGATGACATACGCAAACCCGGTGATGAATCGTACCGTAAAACGAGAGAAGATTTAACGACAATGGATAAACTTCATATGGCTTTAACAGAACTATGTTACGCTATTAATTACTGCCCTACAGTAAATGTATGGGAGTTCGCATTCGCCCCACGCGAATATTTATGTCAAAATTTGGAGCATCGGTTTTCACGGGACTTAGTCGGCATGGTGATGTTCAATCAGGAGACGATGGAAATAGCCAAACCTTCGGAATTATTGGCATCAGTTAGAGCCTATATGAACGTCTTGCAAACTGTGGAGAATTATGTTCATATTGATATGACTCGGGTTTTTAACAACTGCCTGCTACAACAAACGCAAGCTTTGGATTCGCATGGAGAGAAGACAATAGCCGCTCTTTATAACACTTGGTAAGTGCGACCGTCGGTTAAGTAGATGCAACTCTGACTTTTATTTGTCTAACATGCGCAGGTATAGTGAAGTTTTGCTTAGGCGTGTTTCGGCGGGTAATATTGTATTCAGTAATAATCAGAAAGCCTTTGTGCCAATTTCACCCGAAGGCTGGGTTCCATTCAATCCACAAGAATTTTCCGATTTGAACGAGTTACGTGCGTTGGCTGAATTAGTGGGACCGTATGGCATTAAGTCTTTGAATGAAACTTTGATGTGGCATATTGCAAATCAAGTACAGGAATTGAAATCACTAGTTGTTGTTAACAAGGAAGTATTGATTACCCTACGTACCAGTTTCGATAAACCAGAAGTAATGAAAGAACAATTTAAACGTCTACAAGATGTTGATCGAGTTTTGCAACGAATGACTATCATAGGTGTTATATTATGTTTCCGTAATTTGGTGCATGAAGCATTAGTAGATGTTTTAGAAAAGCGTATACCTTTTCTGCTGAGTTCGGTGAAAGATTTCCAAGAACACTTGCCTGGTGGCGATCAAATACGTGTGGCGTCTGAAATGGCTTCATCAGCTGGTTTAATGTGCAAAGTCGATCCGACATTGGCGGCCACTTTAAAATCGAAGAAACCTGAATTTGATGAAGGTGAGCATTTAACTGCTTGCTTGTTAATGGTTTTTGTTGCAGTGTCCATACCTAAATTGGCACGCAATGAGAATTCGTTTTATAGAGCCACCATTGATGGTCACTCAAATAACACTCATTGTATGGCAGTGGCCATTAACAACATTTTTGGAGCGCTATTTACTATCTGTGGTCAAAATGATATTGAGGATCGTATGAAGGAATTTTTAGCTCTCGCCAGTTCTTCTTTATTACGTCTTGGACAAGAATCGGATCGGGAGGCGACACGTAATCGCGAATCAATCTACCTACTTCTCGATGAAATCGTCAAACAATCGCCGTTTTTAACGATGGACTTGCTAGAATCATGCTTTCCTTATGTATTAATCCGAAACGCCTATCATGCCGTTTACAAGCAGGAGCAAAATTTAAATTAATCAGTAAAAATACTTTTTTTTTTAGATTTTTTTATTTACATAAGCGAAAAATGCATTTTTTTTTTTAAGTGTTTTAAGTTAAAAGTACACAAAGTATTCGTTTCCACTTTTTAATTATCATATATACATATACATGGATATACTAAAGTAAATAATTAACCAAGCATATACACAACTAAATAAGAACACATTGAAAGACAACCATTTTGGACACTTTGATGATATTTAAAGCAAAATAAAATGGCAATTTATACCAGAATAAATTACGCAAAGTGTTTTCACTGGCTTTGTGAAATCTTACGTCTTGCTAAAATACGACTGGTATAGAATCCCTAAGGAGGACGTGGCAAAGAGTGTGAAATAACTCCACCATGTTGCAAATCCCAAAAATCCTTTATACACTTCGGTAGTAAACACCTGGGAACAAAAAAAAAGAAACAAAATGCAGTGACATGTATACATATATAATAAATTTACATTTTTCAAGTCCGTTATAGAGGCCTGTAAGCTTTGTGCCGATTCCAAAATATTAAAATCTTGAAGGTTCTGATCTTCGAATATTTCAAAACTGTCGCCTTCCGAAATTTTCACAATAGTTGGACGTACGTTTGTTTCACTTTCAACAAAAGAGCTATCGTTTTGTACTACAGATTCATTAAAGAGGAGGCCAGTCCAGCTAAATCCTCCCAGACTTTTGTACATCAACGTTAAATATAAACAAAGAATTAGAGGAGCCGCAAATTGCAGCGTCACCACACAGAGATAATAAAAAATTGAAGAAACCTAAAGAGAAATATTAAATAAATGAAACGACAATAAACAGGACAAATATTAGTTACCTTCTTTTGAAAGTCTATATTTGTTATTCGACCCGCTTCCTTGCGCAAATCGTTGATTCTATCGCATGCTAAATTCAAATATGATTGTAGGTAAATAGGCATCAAAGCAAAACGTAATACTACCACCAATATTACAAGAACAAGACGCAAAGTCTCAAATATGTGAGGTTTTAATCTATAAAGTATTGAAAATGTATTCAATCGGGAATGAAAATAAAATAGCGCTTACAATGGCTTCTCCATCCCTTCAAAAATACGCACGGTTAAATAATCTCGGCTTATGGGTCGTATCCATAAAATAACCAAAATGAATGGTAATATGAAACTGATATTTAATAAAATCTGTTTAAGTTTGCTGTCGTGACAATATTTCAATGAATCCCAATGCATTTTAGCCATACGTAAACCTGGAAATGTAAACAAAGAACCCAAAATTCCACATCCTAAAGCCATAAAGAATTTCATAACAATCTTTGAAGCTGGACCACTAAAATTTCAAAGCAAGTGCATAATTTCGTAAAATGATCCTTATATACTCAATTTAAGTAAACTTACGACGACTCCAATCCTTGTTGACTTAAAAATTTGGCAGCACTACTATTAAAGCTGGCATAGGCATCTTCTAAACCAGTTTCCAGAATACTCTCATCAATGATGAGCACAATCATAGCGATTAAGAGATAAACAAGGCAGGCCACAATAACCATAGAACGTTCCCCGATTGACTCTTCGCTTTGGAAATATAATACCGTCAACGCGGATAATAATTTACTAAAAATCATGAAAAAGTGATTTAATGAATTGATCTTCGGCTTTTAATAACTTACAGAGCAAAAAAGATGACCAATGAACACCAAACCATACTCAAATTAAACTCATTTTTCAATGGAAAAAAGTAGTGATAGGCCTGTTCGTGTAAAATTGAACTTTATATAATTTTTTTTAATGATTTGCAATTCTATTGGACATATGTAAATTTTTTACCTCTGATATGATATAGACGATGGCAGCATACACGCTGAAATCCACTAACCATTGATATTCAGCAAAATATCTTAAATGTACGACATCTCGTGTGAGAACAGGAACTGTTTCCAATTGTATGTCTATGTTGCGAGGTATATGAAATTGACCGTTCGATGCACTGACATGACCATTCTGCTTATATTTATTTTTGTGGTTCCCTTTTGATGATTTTTCTTTTGGTATCCCAGCCTTCGCCCTTAATATATCATCTGAGGGATGCAGGTAACGATATAGGCCCGTTGAGCACAAAATCCATTTGGCAAATGAAAAATGTGGATTCACCTTTTGTATAACGCTGACCATAATCAATGTCAAAACCATTTGTGCTCCTAATATTGCCTAAAAATATATTCATATTTAAGCTATTTGCGTATCTTTCATATTTCTCCTATACATATATGCATATTTAGGTCAATTCTATTTTTATTGAACAACGATGAGGTTATAAAATTTTACCGGGAAATTACTTCATCTATGTGCAACTTACCATTTTTTGTAAGCTCGTTTTGTTCAATCGCTTCAAATTGTTTAAATTAATTGTTTAACTTAAATGTACATAGAACTTTTTTTTAATTAAAAACGGAAACTCAACACATTTCGAACTTTTTTTCTTCTCTTGAGTACTCAACGCCGATTGGCTGTGTCAGCTGAAATACGAAAATAGCCCTATGTGTCAGTGTTGTTAACGACCATGAAATCGCTATGACAACACAGAAATACTATCGTTTCGTTTCTCTTTCGCATTTCGTCGAGAATTTGTTGCCGTTACCTTCAAAGGGGGTTTTTACAGCTGGGATATGACCCACGGCTTTCCGTCCACTCATCCATTCTAAGAAAATTTCTTTGTGTTGCGCTTAACTGAACGCAACAATTGCAGAAAAGTAAAATATAATGGCTCCATTAATTAGATGGCAGGGGGTGCGGTTGACTTTGTTATTTACGTACATGGGAAAAAAAAGGGAAAACCAGGGAACGATACCAGAATGGCAGCCTCGATAGCGGCTTGGTTTGTTTATCAACGCTCTCTCTGTCTCACTCCCTCTCTCTGTGTGTGTGTACAGAATTATCGCGTTCTGCAAGAAAAACACATCTTGTGCTTCAGCAGTGGTAGTTGCCCTTCTATAAATTAAGCAAATCCCAACCATTATAGTCCACTTTTCAAAAAAAGTTCTAGTCCATTTTCAGAGTGATGGACTCCTAGCGTCTGCCTACCCCCAAAAGCATAGTCTAGCTAGTTAATAGACTAGTAATTTGTGTCATCCAGATTTTCTGCTTGGATAGAGTTCAGATCGATTATTAAGGAAGCTTAAGAAAAACTTTAAGAAAAACTTAAAGTGGTCGACTACTAGTTTTCTTCCTTAAAAACAGTCTACGTACCTTCAACCTATCTAAGAAAAGCCTATGCCAGCAAAAATTTTTGCCTGTTAGCCTTGATAGTTAATTTTCCTAACAACACCCTGGATTATAGACTACTTACCTTGCTAATTCGCTGACACGATATCAAAGAACGATCAATGTTTTATTCGATTTCGCTGTCGTGCTCCTTTGGCTTGAGGTTAGGTGAGATAGTATTATTGTGATGGAACTACTTTACGAATGTACAATCGGATTCGTGCTTATGCACATACACGGCGTTAGTAGAATTGCTTATGCGGCTGAGTGTATAAAACCAGTTTTGGTAGTCAGTGTGTGTAGGTTAGGATAAGAATATTGTAAGTGCATATGCGCCTTGGCTTCAAGCCATAATAATGAAGATGAGTACGTGCTGTTTAAGAATGTATGGATGACAGCTTCAGAAGGCAATAAAAAATGAGCTGTTTAGAATGTTTGTATAAAGCTTAGCGTATAATCATAAACGACAATTAGCGAAAGCATAATAGGGTAACAATAAGAATTTTTTAAATGTGTAGCGCAGATAGTTTGAACATAGTATATAATGTACTTGCTTAGAACGACGTGAACGTTTTAGACGAACTCTTTGGAAGATATGAACAATTTTGGTGCATGTTGAATCCGTATGCAATAAATGTAATCAATTAGTTGAAGTGTTAAACTGGTGATTTATGAAGAAGGTATGCGCTGGAAGTATTTATGTGGATTAGGTACGAATTAATATATGCAGTGCATGAACGAGTTTAAATGCTTATGCTTAGCCATTTTGACTAATAGTGTATACGTTAATAACTCGTATGCAAACTGGGATCAAAATTAAAAACCTAAGTATATATGATAACAACAATGAATTAAACTATAATGAGTAATAAAAGTGGATTAAACGATAATCGAGTCCGATAGATGATGATGAGAAGGGTGTAATAAAGTTGGTAATAAATTTGGAAAATTTGGCAATAACGAGAGTCTATCGTACATATTGAAGGGTATGCAATAACGGTAGGTACAATGACGACTCCCGTCGATGACACGCTGATCGTGACGAAACGGTTGCCTCGATGCAATCTTCATTTTAAAGAAGATCTACATAGACGGAAAAAACCAAATTTTCATATATTTTGATATTAAATGGGCGTGGCTATTTATTTCCATTTTTATCTAGTAGATTATGAAAAAAAAAAATCTTGACCCAATGTAGTTAATGAGAGATAAGCAAAAAAGGAAGAAAGCAGGTCTGTTTTCCGTTTACACCATACCGTACCAAGCGTACTCTTTGACCGATTTATATCATTTTCAAATTTTTATGCCAAATTTGAAGCAAATATCTTTATCTTTGCGAACGGGAGCGTATTTCTAACCGACTTTACGCAAACTTTTGATGTTGATCAAGAATATATATAAATTGTGAAACTTCCTCCTTGGTGCTGTAAATATTTTTTACATCTCCTTGCTATCGGGCTAAGAGTTTCAAATTTTTACGCATCAACATCCTTAACGTAAAGTTCAGCAAATGGTCCCTATATTTTTGTTGCAGTCAGCGTCCATGGCAAAAAAATCTGTCGTTACCGTTTTTTAAATGTGGCGTTTCTACGCCATAATTTTTATAGTGTAGGGAAATGACGGGCGTATTGCCTATAGTGAACTCTCCACTAATCAGATCATTTGATGCAATCGGCAGCCAATCGCTTTGTTAAATGTGTAAGAAACATTTTTCTTCGTTCAGATACCTCGCCAGTTGTGATGAAATACATTTGATGAAAAGTATAACAAAAATTACAGATTTTGCCCAAACCGGGCGATGCCTTGGAAAAGACATGTGTAACTCTTTACATTGTAGTATGTCGTTCCGCTCTTGTTTGATATTTTCACATTAGTAGACATTCTGCAAATGATAAGAGGAGCGGAATGGAATGAAATATGTGAAATGATACTATAAATAAACGAGAATATGTTAGTTATAAAGGGAAAAGCAACCTAGACATTTCAAAAAATTTCGTCAATAAAGTATAAGTTAAAAGAAGAAATTGACATTTTTTAGGCAAAATTCTATTTAAACGGAACAACCGCGAATATATTATTTGAAAATTCTTATAACGTACGGGCATACGTACCCATACACGCGCGCGCGCATATATACATACATATATATATATATATATATATATATATATTTATATATAAGTAAATGTATATATAAATATATATGTATGCTTAAATATATTTCGTTATTTAGCCGTTATAGTAAAAGAGAAGACGCTGTGGAGCTGCAAAGGGAGAAAACCATCGAATTCCTGCGCATTTTAACATTTGTTTTATTATTTTTGATCATCTCATTATACCTATATCGTTTTGCTTTTTGAAAAGAAAAATAATACGTTCCTCCCCTTCAAACTCCTAAGCAAATTTGCAATATTGGATTATAAGTACTATATATTTTATACTAATTATTAAGAAAAGGTGAGCAAAGATGGAGTGCCTACGATTCCGATCAATTATATAATGTGCATGAATACGTATTTTTAGGGTTATGGCTAAGGTACCTGCTGTTGGTATTGATTTGGGCACCACCTATTCTTGTGTGGGCGTTTTTCAGCATGGAAAGGTCGAAATTATAGCAAACGATCAGGGTAATCGTGTTACACCATCATATGTAGCCTTTACCGACACTGAACGTTTAATTGGTGATGCCGCCAAAAATCAAGTGGCCATGAATCCCAATAATACCATATTTGGTAAGCAAATCAAATTATAATAACGATAATAACAATAATAATAATAATAAGATAAGAATAATCGTAATATTAATAATAATCATAACAATATATAAATAATAATCATAAAAAATAATAATGATGATGAAAATAATACCCATAATAATATAATAATAATAATAATAAAAAGTAATAATAAAAGGTAATAATAATTGAAAAAGAAATAATAGTAATAATGAATAATAATAGCAATAAATAATAATAGTAATAATAATAGTAATAATAATAGTAATAATAATAATAATAATAATAATAATACTAATAAAAATAAAAATAATAATAATAATAATAACAATAGTAAACAATAATAATAATAAAATATAATAATAATAAAAAATAAAAAACAAAATTAATAATAATAATAATGATAATAATAATAATAATTCATATATATTTTTGTAATTCATATATTTTAATTACCTTGCCTCTCATGCGGCACTCGCTGCACAATTACTCATGTTTATATATTTTTGTGTTCTGTTCATTATTGGGCTGTATAAACACTAATAATACATGCATATGTATGCGCATACTGCATATTCTTATACGTATTATTTTACATAAGTGAACATGTGTCTAACTATATATAGAAAAACTGAGTCGAATTTAGCTCAATTTTTCCTTAATACACTACAAGCTGCAAGCTCTTATTTTAGTTATTGCAATTTGTTAAATTTATTTTTTATTTGTTTGCCAAATATTTATGTGAATTTGATTGGCCACTTACCACTGTTCCCGTATTGCATTTACAATATGAAAACTATACTATGTACATTTAATAGAGTCTGTAAAACAGTTGGCGAAATCGATCACCGCCCATTGCATTTTAGGGTCATTGTTATTTGGGAAACATCACGTGTGTACGTGTGTTACGATGGGTTACTTGAATGTACACCAATTAACGTAAATTTCCATATATCATAACATATTTGCATATTTCTTCTGTGCACTTCAAACTTCGTTGGACAGTACGAATAGTAGTCTAACTAACCATCATTCGGATTTTCTAATTATTCCATATCTCTGTCTCTCTCTCTTTCTCTTAATTTTTGGTTTTTTACACAAATCCATTCTATAAACAGTTTATATGCAAAGGCCGGGAAACATGGCCCTCAATAATTATTAAAATTTTGAAATAGATCCAAATGTGCATGAGTGGAGTGTAGAAGGGGAGGGCGCTTCTATTTTTATAATTTTTGTTTTTTGCAACAGAAAATGATGCATTGATTATATCAACGCATTCACACATACGCAACTTATGATTCCGACATTTTAAATCGGTTTGAGCATCTGTGTGCCGATATGCGTGTGTGTCTATAATACGTAGTCTCACACTTTTAACAAAACTTAAGGACAAATGGACAATAACACATATTTATGGTTGGAAGGCAAATCTTGGTTCTGAGAACAAATGAAATTTTTACCAAGCCCACACACCCTAACTACAGGTTTTGTTCACTTGATAAACGATTATCATATTTGAAAAAGAATTTTTTCTGAAAATCTTTCAACTGCAATTTCAACTGGGGTTGATGGAGCAACTGAAGAAAGTAAATTTCATTCCTTATTATCTGTTAATGTACATGTTGGGTCACAAAAGCTCGGAAAGAAATTTACAATTTACGATCTCTCTCCGTCTTCTATGCGAAACGAAGACGGGTGATATATTTACTGGAATAGCAATAATCGATTTTGTCTTCGGATGTATGTAATACGATGTCCGAGAAATAAAGGTGAACTTGCTTAAAAACCCAAAATTTCTTCATTTATTTTCAAATCAAATTTTTTTCCAAATTGTTAGTAGTGTGACTGCCATGTGTGTCAAAATTCACATCATAGAAGTCGTTAGTGTTTCAGTTGCGCTTGAGCAAAGAAGTTGCATCGAATGTTGTTTGCAATCGCTACGGGAGATGGGACTGTTACGCATGCGCACCGGAAACAATCGATCAATCGAGCGAATATCGAGTCAAGACCGAAAAAATCGTGCCAAATTCGCTTAGAAATCCAGGCGCTGTTAATAGTTGGCTTCAATTATCGTGACATTGCGCGCCATGCACTTCTTCTGCCAAACCAAATCGTCAACAAGGAATATTTTTTGAGTGTTATGAAGGCGATAAATTGAAAGAATAAGGATTTTTGGGATTATAAATAAATTAACCTTTTCTTTTTCCAAACGCAGTAGTAGTACACGACATATTTTTGCATTTCTTAAGGCATCGTCTTGGGCGTTTCACATACATTTTTATACTTATCACCGAAGGATGAGCGGTACATTCACTTCGTCGAAACGCTTCCAACGTGCAGAAGGAAGGATCAGGGACCCCATAAAATATCTATATCCTTCATCAGCATCAAATTCTAAATCAATTTAAGCATGTCCATCTGTCCGTCTGTCGTGAACATTTTCCTGGCCGCAAAAATAAAGCTATCGAATTCAAATTTGGCAGAAACACGGGAAGTTCTTGCAGACTGGTTGGCCTTGAAAGTGCGCCAAATCAGTCGAACAACATAACCACAGCGTCATGTAAACTGAGAATACACCACTGTTTTTCAAAAGGAATGAAAAATTGATTTTTTGTTCGTTACTCATAAACTATGCCAAATAAATGTATCAGAATTTGGGCAATGCTGTAGTGTTTGTGTACAAAAATTGAAAAAATTCGCCACGCCTACCCGATATTATATTGTATCAAAATTGAATTATTTTTTCAATGCCTTTATAACGCGCAGAAAGAAGCGCCAAAGCTTGTGGTAATCATTCTCCCGTTAGCGAAAATGAAGATATCGCCTAAAAATTTGCAAAAGAATTTAGATTTGACCTAAACTTTTCAACGGACAAGCCGACAACGCCCACATGTCTCGATGACAAAAGTTTTTATTTTGAAAGTAAAAAAAAAAAAAAACCCGCTGCGCCCTCTGCATATTATAGAGCATGAAAATGTTGTCCTTTTACTTCTTTTGTATTTTTTTTTTGGGGGGAAAAGGATGTTGGGTATAAAAGATTCGCTTGCAACGGAATTTAATTTTCTTACATGTTTTTGCTAAGGAAGTGGAAAGTCTGTCTAAAGTCTAGAAGAGTCTATGCCCAATTAACAAAGTTATGGCCATATTCCGGGCATATCCGAGCATTTGCGTTAATTAGCGGACACATGGAAATCGCAATTAAAGTATGATTTACCGCATTGGGAATTGAAATCAGCATGTCAACCAGTTAGTCGAATTTTGTATCTAGACTAGACTATCAGGTAAACCTTTCGACTGGTTGGATATTCACATCTAGGCATAGATTGCCTCGGCCCTGAGTTGTATCTGTTAAAGCGATTAATGATCGGCTATAAATTTCTCTGATATTTCCCTTACCCGTGATGCATGTATAATTGAGCGCTAAAACTGATCCCAGAGTATGAGCATATATACCCATAAATGGTGCTCAGTAATCAGCATGATTTCTTAATATTTCGACTTCACCAACACGTTCTCTTTTAGTTAGTTACAATGTTTCGTATATAGTCGGTGTTATTATCAATGAAATCTAATCGACACTTTTCCTTTCTTTTTATATAATTTCAGTATTTGTTTAAACGTTCTGACTGCAATTGTTCAAATGTGTTAATGTTTTTTTCATGTATTCTTGCTTTAGCTGCAATAAACAAATGTTGATGTTTTATAAAAACTTGTTTGCTTGCATGTCTTCATATTCGAACAAAGACGGGTTTCATTTTAGAGAATTTCGTATTTTCATTTTTTAAAATTGTTTTGCAGATGCTAAACGATTGATTGGTCGTAAATTTGACGACCCTACGGTTCAGGGCGATATGAAACATTGGCCGTTCGAGGTAATTAGCGATGGCGGTAAACCGAAAATTCGGGTCGAATATAAAGGGGAGAAGAAAACATTTTTTCCGGAGGAAGTATCATCGATGGTACTGACCAAAATGAAAGAGACTGCAGAGGCGTATTTGGGCAAAACAGTTACTGATGCTGTCGTTACGGTGCCAGCTTACTTCAACGATTCTCAACGTCAGGCTACCAAGGATGCCGGCGCTATAGCCGGCTTAAATGTTTTACGTATAATTAATGAGCCTACTGCTGCTGCTATTGCGTACGGTTTAGATAAAAAGGGTACGCATGAGCGCAATGTGCTGATATTTGATTTGGGGGGTGGCACTTTTGATGTTTCTATTTTAACCATTGAGGATGGTATCTTTGAGGTTAAGTCCACGGCCGGTGACACGCATCTAGGTGGCGAAGATTTTGATAATCGCATGGTTAATCATTTTGTTCAGGAGTTTCAACGCAAGTATAAAAAGGATTTATCATCAAATAAACGTGCCGTAAGACGTTTGCGTACTGCTTGTGAACGAGCTAAGCGCACATTGTCCGCTTCATCTCAGGCCAGTATTGAAATTGATTCGCTATTTGATGGCATTGACTTTTACACTTCAATTACAAGAGCTCGTTTCGAAGAATTGAATGGCGATTTATTCAGGGGTACTATGGAACCGGTAGCTAAGTCTTTGCGTGATGCCAAAATGGATAAGGGCCAAATCCATGATATCGTTTTAGTGGGTGGCTCGACTCGTATACCTAAAGTGCAGAAACTTCTGCAAGATTTCTTCAACGGCAAGGAACTGAACAAGTCAATCAATCCTGACGAAGCCGTCGCTTATGGTGCTGCCGTGCAAGCTGCCATCTTACACGGCGATAAATCGGAAGCTGTACAAGATTTATTGCTGCTAGATGTTACACCATTATCATTGGGCATTGAGACCGCTGGCGGAGTTATGACCGTATTGATAAAGCGAAACACTACCATACCCACCAAACAGACTCAAGTGTTTACGACATATTCGGATAATCAACCAGGAGTTTTAATTCAAGTTTTCGAAGGTGAACGAGCCATGACAAAGGATAACAATATATTGGGTAAATTTGAATTAAGTGGAATACCGCCTGCTCCTCGAGGCGTACCACAAATTGAGGTTACGTTTGATATAGATGCCAACGGCATCTTAAATGTAACCGCTATAGAAAAGTCAACGGGCAAAGAAAATAAAATTACTATTACAAACGACAAAGGACGTCTTAGCAAGGAGGACATTGAACGTATGGTTAACGAAGCTGAACAGTATCGGAACGAAGACGAGAAGCAACGGGAACGTATCAACGCGAAAAATACTTTAGAATCGTATTGCTTCCAAATGAAATCAACTTTAGACGATGAAAATATTAAGAGCAAAATTTCTGATGGCGATCGCCAAACCATTTTGCAGAAATGTAATGAGACGATCGCTTGGTTGGATGGCAATCAGCAAGCTGAGAAAGAAGAGTTCGAATACAAACAAAAAGAATTGGAAAAAATTTGTAATCCCATCATTACAAGACTTTATCAAGGTGGAGCACCGCCTCCAAATCCCCCCGGTGCCGGAACTAGCGGCAGTGCCGGTGCTGGACCCACCATTGAAGAGGTCGATTAAAGCAAATTAAAAACGAATTATTAATTTTTCACTTTACTTTATTTCATAATATATAACATTTTATTACAATTTATTATCTTCTCTTCAGGCTTAGTTTTTCCTTTACTGAAATTTTACTAATACACATTATTTTTCTTAAATACAATTTTAAAAAATAATTTTCTTGAATTTGAAAAAATAAAACACGGATTAAATAAATATGCAGTACGAACACAGCGTACACTTAATGAATAAGTAAACGGTGACGACCGTTTCTCTTACACAGTCGTTCGGATATGATATTCTTTGTACCCACCACCGCGTTATGAGCGTATACTAGATTTTATCTTCATCCCGTAATACCCAGAAAGGCGCATCAAAGATCCTATTGTATTGTACGTACTCTTGGGGCAGCATATAATTTTGAGTCAATTTAGCCACGTACCACGGCACGTTCGTATAAACGGCCATTCGTTTACACTGTTATCTGTTGTCTGCTATTGAAACATTTAACCGACTTAACAATTGATAAGGAAAGCTAGAACATAGGCACGATTTCTATAGATCGGATTTAAAATGGGGTTCGACAACTCGTCTCGTCATCGATAAAAACATATTACCCCAACCCGGAGCAGATATTGATTCGAAACATTGTACAGATATTTCGTAGAGCCACGTAAAACTTTAAAGATTTATTCACTGCTAACTAACTCAACTAAAAGATGTTTGTAAATGTATATATGGTGGGGGGAGGGGGGAGCTGAATGCTGAATGCTGAATTCGCCGTAAATTAGAAAAAGAATCGTGCTCTGGTCTTTGTTATTATCACTTTGCTTATATCACTTTTAGATGAGAATGAAAAAAGAGATGTGTAAAGTGTAAAAGTTTGAAAAAACACCCGGAAAATACACTTCACATACGCTTAATTGAATATAAAAAATGATGAAATGAATCCTTATTTTTTTTTTTTTCTCAAAATGGAGAAGATAGAAACCTGACGATTTCGAAAGCGTCCAACAGCAGTTCTCAATGGGGATTATTTAATTGATATGTCGAAACGATTCACTCTATTCGGTATAGATTGGATCGGACTATTTTCACAATCATAATTTTTACACACCAAACAATGCCTCGTTTAGAAAAAGTCCATATAACAAAAGAATGCAAATTTTTAATATTTGTCGTATTCGTAAAAATCGTTGGGAAAATATGTAGAATAGAATGTAGATGTACGAAGCAAATGTGGAGAATTGAAATAAATTTACTGTGCGCGTATAAATAGATCACATAGGATCATTTTATAGGTTTTATGACAAACGGACGTGATGTATTGTTTTACATGTAATGTGATGTAGGGTATTTTAGCAGCGGTTTCACTCGATCATTGTATTTTTCATCATCAAAGTTTTCTTTTTAAAATGAAGATAAATCTTGATCAAATTTGTTAATAGACTACGACTGGAGTGCAAATCTGATCGGAGCAAATTTATTCAATCGATACTTATAAGAGAAAGCGATTTTTATTTTATTACAGCAATAAATAACAAGTTTCCAGATAATTTTTTTTCTTATTTTCTTCTTCTTTTTTTTTTTTCATAAATAATAAAATATATTTATATACGAATCTGTTCATAAAGTTTAAATTATTCGAACGAGGAAAACAAATTTTACAGTCATATTAAATATTTAGCATTGAGTCCACAATTGAAAGGAAAGAACACCAACTTATAGGCATTGACGAATCCGCGAACAAAAGTTGCTAATATTGGATGGATATTCACACCGTATTTCCAACGCCCTATATTAATGTCAATAGGTTAGAAAAAGTATCGAATTACCGCTTAATATGCGGCGTTCTGGACTGTCCGATTTTACAGGGTTTGTAAATTTTCTGCGGATCTAGTGCTAGAACTTATTATTAGTGCACATCATTAGATCACTGCTGAGAATGGCTTGGATCGGCCACTTCCTTACATAGTACCTTGTTTTGAAATAGTTATTAAATTAAAGAAAAATGCGATTTTTTACCTATCACTGAAGGATGGCTGGTATATTCACTCTGTCAAGACGTTTGCAACGCCCAGAAGGTAGCAAACATTTATATTCTTGGTCAACATGAAATTCTGCATGGATGCATGTCCGTACATCTGTTTGCGCAGCTTTATACTATCTGTGGTAAACAGTCGCTCGTTAGCGGCAATGAAGTAATGCAAATTTTTGAAAGAATCCGTCTACAACGCTCACAACAACGCCTGTGTGACGAAAACTTTTATTTTGAAAATGGAAAATATCAGCCCCATCCACTCCATATAATAGACAATGAAAATTTTATTCTTTTACTTTTGTTGTTGCCCTATTTTGCTATAGCGACGTTGGGTATAAAAGGTTCGGTCACGACCGAATTTTATTTTCTTCTTATTTGTTAAAACTCCTCAACAAAAATCGACGATCGATATAGAATTTCAATCTATTTATTTCGGTTATGCAAAAATGTCCAATTGGTAACATATTTCGATCATATCTGTTTAAATATTGAGTGCCTTTCCATCCCTTATTAGAATTGTCACTAAAAAAACAAGCCCATATTTGTTAACAAATAATAGAGGGGAAATGATAACATATTTAGACAAGAAAATAAATTTTGCTAAATTTGTGTGACGTCAGTTCTGGCTTTTTTTGTCCGCCTCCCTTATAAGGGGCCCATAAAAATGATGCATAGAACTAGGGTATAATGTTTAGGTATTGTATCGCGAAAATAAATGGGAAATTTTATTAGGCGAAATGATGTAAGGTATTTAGTGGTCGGCTTTGCCCGACGATAATGTTTTTACTTGATTTTAGTTCAGAGTATATTTATTGTTTTATTCATTATTTTTTACAAAGTTTTTTTTATTTTTTTTTTATTTTTTTATTTTTATTTTTTATTTTCATTTTTATCTCATGTCTTTTAATCCAGTGTTTGTTTTAGAGTTGGCTTTTTTGTTCGTATTTTTTACAAAAACAACTTTATATCGGTAAATTGTATTCTATATACGTTTACAAATTAATAAAAAAATCTATCTCGATATGTGTTCTAAAAAAAATTCTTTATAAATTCTTTAACAATTCGAATCTTTATTTTTTGTTTTTGGTTTTTATTATCCGCATCGAGAACTATATATATAAACATTTGATATTAGCAACGAGTTTTTCGCTGTTTTATGCCCTATCTTCTGACTTTTATATAACAATTTATAAATAAATGTTTTTATTTGTAAATTTGTTTTTGGTGTACACATTTGGGAATTGCATGAAATCGGAAATGCATTAATGTCAAATAAATAAAATGCATCCACCACAAAGCACCAACTGAAAGGAACATGAGTGCGTGCAATAGGATCGTATCATAGCGGGTCGCGGGTTTCTCCCGAATTGTTTCTCACAATTTCGCTCAATTAGTTTTTCCTTTATAATTAACATAGACAAAAATATTTCATACAATATTTCATGATTGGACAACGATATGCAAACGCTTCGCATTGGTCTTTACATTGTCCTCGAGAATGTGTAGTTAAGAATATCCACGAGCTATAACGATTCACGAGCCGTAAAGTGCACTAAATAGTGTCGCAAAGCACATCTTTTTGAATCCATTCGTCAAAGTACATTTCATAATAAAGAGGACTGAGATTTTCAAATTAAAAATTGGAAACTTTTTTACAGTTATTAGAAAATAATATTGTGAATCGCGTATATATCTACTATTTTTTTGCAATGATTTGAACCTTGGAAAGTTATAAATGGGGTGAGGGGTATATTGATTTTGTTAAAATGCTTCCAACGCCCAGAAGGAAGCATCAGAGACTTTTTAACGCGCAGAAAGAAGCTTTCAAAAACTCTATACACAGTCTTGGTTAGTTACCAACAACCCTTGAATGCACCTAAACATATCCGCTTGTTTGTCTGTCTATTTGTCTGTTTGCGGTATTTATGGTGAACATTCTCCCGTTAGCGACGATGAAGATGTCGCCTACGAATTTTCAATAGAGTTTGGAATTGACATAAACTTTTCAATTACACACACAACTCGGCCCATAACGCCCACATGTCTCGATGACAAAAACTTTTATTTTGAAAATAATCAATCAAAATCAACTGCGCCCACTCTATATTATAGACCATGAAAATGTTTGTTCTTTTATTTCTTTGGCATTTTTTGGTGTAAACGATGATGGATATAAAAGATTCGGTCCCGGCCGAATTTAATTTTCCTACTTCTTTTTTTTTATTCAATATTCAAACACATGCTTACCTTATTAACCTGCTCGAATGTTAATATATTGTTATCGTTTTTATTGTTGTTGTTGTTGTTGTTGTTGTTGTTGTTGTTGTTGTTTTCGTTTTCTTAATGCGATTGCCTGGCGGTGGATAATGAATATGATATAAAAAAAAATATATCTCATATATATTTTAAATTGTATTTTGGATAAGAATTTTAAAGGGTTTTAAAAACCTTATTGTAAACACTGTTTAAATTCATTTCAAGGATCTACACGTTGTATAACTGATTTATCTAAGTTAATTTATCTAATATTAAATACATTTTTTTACGTTTTTCTCATTTACTGTTTTCTATTCTTATATCTTAATTTTAGTTTTTACTCACAATTTGAAATATAAACATTAAATAAATTATTGTTATTAGTTATTAATGTCAGTAATTTTCACATATTAAAAATTACCCATTCCAAGCAGTTCCTTTAATTAAACGAGTAACTCAAAAAAAAAAAAAAAAAAAAAAAAACCAAAATAAAAACATTTAAAAATGAATTAAAAAATATTGCAGCTGCTTTTGCTAAATTTTATTTTCTTAGTAGCTTTCCATTCGCTGTATTGTTGCTGTTGAAGTTGTTTCTTATTTTTTGTTTTTGTTGTTGTTGTTTTATGGCGAACATTCTCGACTTGATCAGTTTAGAATATTAGCAATTAGTATACTTTCTCCTTTTTTTTGTATACAAATATTTTACAATCTCGAGGCGAATCCTCAATTTTACAGTATACTATTTATTAATATTATTATTATAATTATAATTATTAT